CAGAGGAAATCTGGGAAGGAAAAAGGAATTTTATCAACACGGTGTCTGAATTTGTGATTACGGTAGCGCACCTTTTGTGCGTCGTGGTTTTGCATCACGAAAATTGCGTCACTCGTGTTTTTTACGCGTTTCACCTCGCGAAATGGGTTGAATTGAATGTATATACCTCCAATGAGTAAACTGTAATGAAGGAGAGCAGAATTATCCAGGGGCATTAGCAATGCCGCCGCCCCAACTAAGAACAAGTGAGTGGCCTCCGTCGGAGGACATCTAGCAAGTAAAGGCGGTCCGACTGAGGAGGAGTCAGAACTAGCACTTTGAGCGGCTATAGCAGCCTCCACGCTCACAATAGAGTCGCGAAAGGTGAACAGTCTTCTAGCTTGGAGGCTAGACTACTTGCACAGCAAAGGCGACCACGAGCCACTTTGATCGCGGGGGCTGTCTTTAAGTCTAGATTCTTACGGACATCTCTTCAATTCACTGCTCCCATACCGGCCTTGCAAGATTCAAATTTGCTTTCTAATAACTCAGTCATGACTAAACAATAGCTTATAAACTTTTAGAAGGGGACTCACATGTCTCTTGGTCCACTGCGTAAGATGTGTTAGAGAGATTTGTGAGCTAGGGGCTGCACAGAGACCGCAGGGAGGTGTGACTGTGAGGGAGCGATTTTGTTTATGTTGTTCTGGAGAACGCTTCTTGCCTGTTTTCTTCTTTGGGAGATTACTTATCAGCTGCTGTTTCATAATTGGAAAGCAGCTATCCATGAGACTTTTATCGCGGGAGCTGTCTTTAACGAGATCAACGCCAACCACACTTGCTAAGGACAGCAAAGTCGCGTTCATACTTTGCGGGAGCACCCATTCACCAGCGTCTACAAGCGTCCAGCGACCACTAGCGCAGCGAGCGTCCGGCAGATTCAGCGACTAGAAAGTGTAAATATCGATGTAGCGTCTGTCAGCATCTGCCAGCGTCTTGAGTGTTAGGGGAGCACAGATACGATGTGGCGTCTGTCAGCATGTACCAGCGTCCACCACCGTAGGGTGTGGGGAAGCAGGAGGGTAGCAATTAGCTAAATTAAGCGTCTTGTTGCACAGGCCGCAATTGCATGACGCCTAATCTAGCTGTTTGCTACCCTCCTACTTCCCCATACTCTCTACTCCCGGTCGCTGGTGAACACTGGTGGGCGCTGGTAGACGCTGGCAGGCGATAGATCGATATCTAAACTTTCCCCTTCGCGGACGCTGTCGAACGCTAGTGGATGCTGGTAGACGCTGGTGGACGCTGTCGCAAAGTATGAACGAAGCCCGATGCCATCAGAGAACATCACTTCAGCCAGAGCTGGAGCTGACCATTACTATTTCACCTAATGCTGCAAGGAACTATGCTGATCTTATCAGTTGCTTTCTAGTGTTATCATAGGGCTCAGAAGTGACGGAACGGCTCGAGGAATCACTAACTATATAACTCAATAGCAGCGCCTTCCAGGTCCGTACATCTCCATGGATCGGGAGGACGAAACTGCTGACGTATTTCACTAATGAAACGGTCACGTATCACGTAGGGATGGGCCCACTTCAGCGATCCTGTGACTCAATTCGCCTTCATTCAGCCTTCAAAGAGGAACTGAATGCATGGCGCGATCTAGAGCAATCGATCCAGCTCAACCACATTAGCTGCTTTATCTGGTTCAGTCACTCTGACTAGTAGCAGAGCCTTCGGCCTCTCGATGGCGGTGGTGCTATAGTAGCAGATGGCGCCAGTTTAGCAGCGGGGGACAAATCCGATCCCGACCGACCCGTGCAAGTTGTCATCTCCACACTGTCAGTTTGTAGACCAAACTTGTCTGGGATGATTAAAAAAAATCTGACTCGGACATTGATCAAGCTCAGAAAGGTGAAGGGCCTGACAAATCCCCTAGGCGTGCAAGAGGCCGATCATGGAAGAACACCGCGCCTCTAAGCAGGCCTTAAATGGTGTCTTTTCCAAGAGAAGCGGTCTCGAGGGATCCTGACGAGGCTGAACAAAATAAATCCGTATTTCCACCATTTAGGACATGCTTACCAATGGCTGCGCAGATTCGTTGCTACGTTATAGGCGAAATTCTTGAGCCCAGGTGAGACCTGATGTCGCACCGCACGCTACGGTTGCCTCATATCCTCCTTATCCCTGGAACGGAGTAGGCGCGGCATTTGAAGATGGCATAGAGTGGATTACTTAAAGGATATTTCAACTTGGGATAACCGTCAACCTGTGTTCTTTGTTCGTGTTCTGTCTTAGACAGACGTGACCACAACTGCCCCGAAATCCAAATAACTTACAAAAGGCCCAGCCGCCGCCACGTGCAATTCAAGTGAACGGCCCCGCCTACCGCATCCCAGGGTTTTGACTGTAGCTTGGATTCTGTACCGTAGTCTTACAGCAATCACACATTTAACATTTCTCTATTTCTCGAACGAGTTTTCACACTCTCACCTAA